ATGTTTTGTTTTCATAAATTTTTAATAAATTCTACCCAGTAAGAGTCATAAAAAGTATTATTATTAAAAGTACAGTAAAAGTATTATATCATTTATATAGAAAATGTTATTTAAAGCAATAAATAGAGTACTTCCTTCAAGTCTCCAGGTAGGTATATCAACTTTTACCCGGTGAACGGTTTACAGTAAAGGCAACGATAAATGTAGAAAAGTATGTAAGTATGGGAGTTAAACAACTAACTGTGTTATGGCTTAGGTAAATTTTTTACTATACAATAGCTTTTTGATTATTACTTTATATGCATGGATTACAGAAATAGGAGAATCAATTAAATTGACTACAAAATATACCAGTTTTTAAATTAAACCAATTCAGGAATACAATAGTGAAAATCGTATCAAATTTGGTATAGTAGTTTTTACGTGATGCCGCAACGGACATAAAGACAGACGAAATTTCTAAAAATTATTGTATAGATTTCTATTGCTCTTCTTTATGTCTTTGCATTAATTTTTCCTAAATTTCTCATGTAAAAGTGTACATGCAAAAGTGTTCTTCTTAAAACATTATCAACGCCTGCGGTCTCCAATCTGCCTGCCAAGCGTGGCAACTACTGGCAATATCTTACTTATCATATTATTAAGATATCTTATAATTTCACTGATCGCAGCATTCATATTATATAGTTTAAATAATTAATAATATAAAACAATCACAAACATTGGGACAAAAAGGTTAACGAATATTAGCATTAAATCGTTTATCTTCTACTGGCATATATATTAAATAGTCTTCCTATATCTTTTTATCGAAATACTTAATTATGCATAAAAGAAATAATTTAAATAAAAAAGGTTTTTGTGATAATTTATTTAATTAAAGCTTTTAACCGCGACTTCGTCCATGAGACCGAAATATGTTTACTGACAGGGAGAAAAAGTAGCCTATAACCATCTCTAGAATCCCTTATCTATCCCTATAACAAATTTTATCATAATCTATTCAGTGGTTTAGACGTGAAAGCGTCACAAACACACTTTCGCATTTGTAATGTTATTTAGATGTACGTCTTGTTTTTAAATGACTAATTCAAAACATGATATAGGTACTAATAATATTTTATAATTATGCAAGAAGATTTAGTATTTCCTTTTGTACATTTATATAAAAAAAAAACAAAAACCTAAATCAAATGAAAATCTTTAATAAAAAAAAAGCACATTATAAGTGACATTACGAAACGGGTAAAGATTAATTCCACGTACCAGAAGATCTTCACTGATCTATTATAAGGGTTACGAGTTATCTTTGTTCTAATATATAACATATAAGAACAAAGATATACAACATAACTATCTAAAGTCAAATAGATATTTATCAATATTATTGCTGACATACCTACGTAATAGGAACCTATACCAATATACTGTAATTTCAATAATCACAGGCATATTTAAAGAAGGGGAAGGTTTGTGCCCGTCTAAGAATTATCTACCCACCTCAGGATACGGGAGTAGTTCCGCAAAAACGTATTTGAGAATACCACATATACCTACATACGCCTTTCATAAGGCGCAAGGCTTTCCTAAATAATAATCTTAAATACACCAACGAGACCAATACTTTTGTCTAACAGGAAACACCTCATATCCTATTGGATAAATAGTGGGATGATAAAGGTTGTTAGTGGGGAAGGGATTGTTAGTAATCCGGATTACCAGTCGCATTGCTAAGAATATACCCTTACAGGACGACCTCGCCGTAGTCCTCCTGGAAACCATCGTGCTGAATTCCAGGTGTATTCATCACGATGGGCTAACTGATCAGTTAACTGCCCTTTCATTCTTACTTATCATCTCTCACTGATGCCCTACCAGGGTATACTGTTAGCGCAGGCGGAGTTACCATTCCACTATCATCCATTAAAAAAATAAGGGTTGTTATGACTATGCTACCAGAAGGAGACTTTGTATAAAAGTCGATTGCTTGGGTACCTCTGTCCCATTCGTGTTTCAACCGTGAAGCAGTTGTGTTTCGGTTTGAAGGGTGGGATATGGCGTGAATTTACAGGGTACAGAGGAATAACACCTGAGTCCTCAGGAATGGTAACGTATTGGGGGTATCATGTGCGCGAAACAGTATACTCTGTTATGTTCACGGTACTGCTCATGTCTATAGGCGACGATTACCACTTTCCATCAGGTGGACCGTCAGCTTGTTTGCCATTATAAGTTGTATAGAAAAAAAAATGCTTACCTATGCTTATAGACAGAATTACGCATATTGAACGTACTTAGTGCAAGCTGAGTCTATACTCTATAGGCGTGTTCGTACTGGCGAGCAACAACGCATAATAATATTATTAATTGACGCTCTGAGCGCGCATATTGTGCGCACTCTTTTGTCTACAGTGGGTTTGCAGCTTTGCAGGGTGACCACTCATTGGAGCATACTGTTTCTACTATGTCAATATAATTTCAATCTAAATTTAAATTCTAAAATATCATAAAAATCAAGGCCTCCATTAATTATGAGTATGATTTTCTTGGATGTTTAACAGGTAGCATCTGAATGAAATTTTTTTACCGTATACAGCGTGCTAATTTTGTGTTTCATAATATTTCTACTGAAACATGATTTTTTTTCATTCGAATTAGATAGAAATATCCTGTATGAATGTAGGAAATGGCCCATTTAGATTCAGAATATCATTTAAAATCATACAGCCATTTAAGCGTTATTTAGGAACAACAAATATCCAACGTATTTATAAATATTCACATTTGTACCTTAAATAAGTAGGATCGAAAACAAAAATTTCGACATTTGCTGATGTACAAGTCTTATTTCTTAAAAGTGAGAGTTTACTATCGATTTTATAGATGGCAACCCTAAACGTTAATTCAGAAATGATTGGAATAGGGTTACTAGTAATTATAAATCGTTTTTATACAAAAGTAAATTAATACTTATTTTACCTACTTACCTACCTAAACACTCATTTAGAAAATATTTTAGACTATATTTTTCATAGTACATTAAAGTCAAGACATTAAAAAGTGTTGATAGATAGGTAATTGTTATATCATCAACAATTTACGTAGAATCTTTTGAGTAACAATTCATGGAATAAGATCATCATCATCATCATCATCATCATATTAGCCATTAACAGTCCACTGCTAAATACAGCCCTCCACGATAAGGGGTGTAGGAATTAAATATAGAATAGCTTAGAGCAAGTTCTTTGTGCCGCTATACTGATCATCAAATAAAAATTGTGAACAATTTTGATAGAAAATATAAGATTAATTAAAAATAATAAAAGAGCTTCATTTGCACATATCAGGCACGACGTTTCCCGTCGGTCGGTCGAAGACAACGATCACGACATACAGTGAATCCCGAATACTTTTTTTTGTTTTACTACTTTTTTATTTATTTGTCTTAAAGTGTATTTTAAATGAACAATAATATTATTGAATAATCCGATTTTGTAATTTAAGAAGTAAATGCATAGATGCAATGTCTTTTGACACATTATTAAATAGGTAAGGAGGGAAAATTTATTGATATAGATAGTCTGTAAAAAGATTTGAGCTATGTCAGAAAAAAAAAACAAAAATTCATCTTTGTAATACAAAATTATACAACAGATAGAAGTATTTAAACGAAAACAAAAACAGAATACCTGCTGCAGATGTAGTACATGACTATTTTTGTTTTTATGTATAAGCAGGTAAGCACAGTCCATTCATTTAGTTCCCACAACCTTAGATACCTACTTATCCTCAGAGATATCTAGCTTATCTAATGAACAATAAGTCGCAAAAATAATTCCTCATGTACTCTACAGAAAAATGTTTTACACTCTGACTAAAATTTATACAAATCGTTTAAAATAAGACCAAACCATATATACCTACTAATTAAAGTTAAGGAAGTGGATACAATACACTATAATACGACAGAGTTAGACATAATATGGTATAGTTTTTAAAATCCTACTTAGGTATGAAAATAAACAATATATCAAACATTTGATAGTAAGTTACGCAATTATATGTTAGGAATTATAAAATAAATTTATAATTACTTATTTTAACATTCAGTTGCTTATAAAAATATAATATTATAAATATATAGGTAAAGTTTTATTCACGCGCATAACACGTCGTCGTAATCCGAACCGCGCGCGACGGGCGTTGCGTCGTGTTGCGGCGTGCAGACTCGCTCAAAGCTCACAAAGGCAGCATTGTCTCACAGACTAAAGACGCTAATTATAAAGTGAAAAAAGCCTAATTAAACGCGCATAATGAGCCCTCAGCCGTCGCCGCGACAACACTAGTTTAACACAAAAGCTCTAGAAGAGTTAGCTCAGTAGTGACGTAGAGCAGAAAGAAATATTGTCAATTAAATTTGGAATTTAAGAGATACCTAAATGTTGATAGTTGTGATAGACTGCACTTGTTAGGTTTTTTTTTGTGAAAGAGTAGGTTCAAGATCTTCAACTACATATATGTTTTTGTCATTTTTATTTGAATTAATATTAACAGTAAGGGTCCTAATTAAGCGTTAATTCTATCCACCAATTCAAATAATAACTAACTAATATATATAATTCGTAAGTGATTGTGAGAACTACCTATTTTAACGCCCATGTGATTTTAGACGTTTAAATTAATACAAATAATGTTAACAGAGATTTGAAAAAGTAACTGTTCAGTTTCTTGCGGGCTCTTCTTAACAGATAACTATTTTCTGAATCCTGCATTCATAAAAATCGATTACGATTTAAAAGTGCTTGTAAAGAAGTCTACAAAGATGATTTGATGATTTGCCTCGTAGGTGTTTAAACACGTACCTACTAGATATCTAATACTGTGCTTTCTGAAATATTGAACGTCACTAATTTTGAATAATTCTCCCAATTTAAAACATGAGTAAATTAAATGATAAATAATTAATAAAACGTTACTAATTCTATTTAAGTACTTACCAGGTGGTGGATGGAGTAGTGGTGGGCCAGGCAAAAATGCTGCAGCCACAGCTGCTTGGGCATTGAAAGCAGCGGCATACGCAACTCGGCTGGCCACAGATGCTGGCAGCTGGAACTGAGGCGTGTATGGTGCTCGAGACTCTCTACTTTCTGACAAATTTAGCACTCTATCGTTGTCCCGGTTTTCAAAATATCGTTCTCTAGAGTCTCTGCTATCTGAAAGACCTAGGAGCTCCTGTATAGCAAAAGGTGAGCGCTGCGGCGCCCGCGGCGCACTTGTATTAGCGCTCATAGCTTGCATCTCTTGAGCTATGTCTTGAACAGCTTGCAAATCATATGTTTATTTTATTTTTGTTTATTATTTTGGTTGTCTCAATTTTTCCGGCTGTATTTCCATTTTTCGTACTTTATTATTAACAGTACATAGTTATCACAATTTTCAATAGGTTGTAAGTACTTATGTGTTTATACCAAATTTTAATAAGTACAAAATTTTATAATTGTTGTCTGTAGATTTAAAAACGCACTTTCTTAAAAAATCTAATTTATTAACACTTATTTATATTTTTTTATCTATTTAATATCTAATAAAATTTATATTTATGGTAATAAAATTAGACCGAAATTGATAGGCCAAATTATTAAAATAAAAAATATCCGTATTTAATTTTCCATGCGATGGAAAAATTGCGGAAAATCGTCTGATATTGCAATGTGTAACGTGACACAAGCACTCGCCGCGACGTCTGGAGCGCTTCTGCCCGCGGCGCCGCCCGTTTTGTTGTAAAAACGAGAAAACCCCCCTTGGAATACTCGCGAAGCACACTGGCTGCCGAATCGGCCTAATTCACTTTCCCGCGCGTACACCGCACGACCTTTCCGAACTGAAGCTAGGATACAGCACTCAGATTAACAACGACGCTCTTCCCCCCTGCTACGGGTAGGATACGACGTTCTCAAACTGGTCCGCGAGACCCCCAACCCGCGCAGGCGGAGCCTACTAATAGCCAATACGGATATTTTGTTACCGCACTCTATTGGCCAGATTTCTTCGCCACGGGCACGCCTACTCAACATTCTGCCACCTGAAATAGGACTGTGGATAATAAGCGTTAAATTCTAAAGTCAGTCGCGGTATTGCAGGTTGATTTAATTTTGATTAATTGTAAGAAATGAATAGATCCGCGGTCGAGGGAGACGGCGGCCGCGCGTCTAATGCAGGGGGCGCGAGTCCAGCGCTCGGCCGGTATTATTCGCGAGCACACACCGAGGCAGGTGGATTGGCGCGTAATTTCGCTCTTAGCGCTCGGTGCACATTGTGCCTTATTGTTTTACCTCCGCCTGTCTCAATGACCTTCTGTTACTCATATTAATTTCGACGTCCGTTTTCTGTATAATGCTTCATTCTTAATTATTATTGCTCGTATTATGCGTACCAATTCGTAACGTAATATGAGTAAATAATACGTAGGTAAGTAGGAAAATAAAAATTGAGTACATTTAAGTCCTCCATTTTTTTTATATTAATTCAATAGATGGCGTTTTAATTCCTAAGGTTTTAAATAGGTGTCCCTATGTATTGTACATAGTTATATAAAAGTAACAATTAATTATTAGTGATTACTACAATGGTATTTTATACAAATATATAGATATTATTGTATTTTTTATAGTATATAATAGGACATCCTTATCAATTGGGGCATCGGATAGTTTTCCATTTTAATTAGCATAAAAATATACTTTTATCGACTACAGAAATCGTTAACCTTGGTTTTAATTACCGTTCAATTTTAACCTTTTTATTAAGGTTAACTGTAAAAGTTACTGAGTTAACTAAGTAGGTAAGTACCTAACTATTTGGTATAGGGAAAGAAGGATGTTTTCAAATCTCCATAATTACCATTACATACTACTTACAATTGTTTGCCACCTTTGAGGTAGGTATAAAAAAAAAAACTTATTTTGTAGATAGGTAGAGTATTTTCTAACCTATAATAATAAATATATAATTAAACTATAAATTAACATTAAAAATGTCAGAGTACACATTACAATATTTTTAATTAAATTATATTCTATAAATATTTATATATCTAATGTATAATTAATTAGGTATAAATATGTATATCAGCAAACAAATTTCATTTAACTCACTTTATAAAGAATAAAGAACCAAAAGAAATTATAATAGTCTCTTTAACAGATTAGTTTCAGAAATGAGTTTGAGAATTTGAATACCTAGTTTAGATACCTGAAGAGAAACTATACTACATACCTAAATGTAGATATACCTAGTCATGAGGTGAATAATGTATAACTAATAAAATTAAAATGCTCTTATATCCATTCTATTTAAAAGAGGAATTACATAAAGAATTTTAATATATTTTACTTTCAAAGTTTTTATCTGTAAAAAACTGGCCAAGTGCTAATCTGTTCTGTATGTAAATTTTGAATGGATAAACTGAAAGAACAAATTTAACTTTGCGTTAGAAAACTGTTGTTTTCAAATATTGAGATAAGTTGCGGTTAATTTACTAACTTATAATAAGGGTATAACAAATAAAATTCTAAAATTATTTTTTTATGTAACTTTACTATACGATATTGCTTTTTGCTAAATTTCATGAGTTTAGATCAACAGGAAGTACCCTACAATAGCTTCTGATTCTCTTGCAAACGTCATAATATATATGCTATAAACAGCCATATCTGATGACTGCGTTGACTTCGAAGTTTGATGTTTTTACAACTTCAAAGAATTGTAGACTTAAGTTTTTGATATTAATTTCAGCTTGATTCTTCCACGCATTTTTGAGAAAAGGATCTTGACAGATAAATAGACAATAAAATGATCCTAAAAGGGTCCCTTCTTTTGAGGTAGACTGTTCTCTATTCTATCCTGTGTTGTAAAAAAAAAAAAAGGTATGGAATACTAAAAAATGCAGTAAATATCAAATATAAAATACATGCCTAATTGTATAATTGGCAATTGTTTAATTTAAATGTAAATATAAGTCAGAGGACTGAAATAAATAAAATGTGAACTTAATACAAAGTAACCCAAAATTCGTCATATACAACCAGTTTTAAATACAACTATCATATCTATCATATCAGATTTTAATTTTAAAATTTCAGTTATAACAAAAAATTGAAAATTGAAACTCTCCACTACCCAAAAGATCTACTTATCCTAAAAAAATTAGAACTTAAAAAAAGACTAAGATATCGTGTGAACCATCATAATGTAGTGTGAATAGCACAAGACGCGCTGGAACTGTCAAGAGGACAATGCGACACGATGGGCTGTTTGTTTGCGTGTCCGTGCGATCAAAACATGCGGTTTGTATATTGTGGAGTGTAACGCGAAACGTGTGGATCACATGTCGCGCTAGCATTCACTGTGAATGTACACTAACACCTACATATTTTTAGTATATAATAACTAGCGACTCACCCCGGCTTCGCTCGAGTATTAGGGATTTGCAATAATATTATGGTAAAACGTATAAAATAAATACTAATTTAGATACTTGCTTTTAACAGGTTGAATGTTGACGACGAATAAAAACCAAACTATATTAAAATAATTACAAGAAAATAGTCTAATATTTTCAACTAACTGAAATAAAAGGTCGAATTTACTAGAACAGACGATTCAAATATAGTTTCGTGTGTTTACTTAAAATTTTATCAAAAAATATTCTTATCTTGAAAACTAATATGACGTTAACCAATAGATGAATTGAATTTGAATTTATCACGTATTATCAGGTGTCTTTAAATATAAAAACGGCAACAGCTATGTGTACTCGTATGTGTGTATTGTAATTTGTGTGCTGTAAGTAATGCAAATAAATTATCTATCTTTCTAACAGCAATCATCACGTAATAAATTTAATAAGATCATAACTTGAGTAACCCTTTTAAGGTCTGTTAAAGAAATAATCAAAAAATGTTCAAAATTGAGAATGACGGGATACATACAAAAAATATAAACGCACAATATAAACTATTACGAGTAGGTACTTTTGCAAGGCACTTAAAAAGCAAAAGTTTGCTCAAAATCACCAGTTTATATAGGTACTTACTTACCTAAGTTAAATAGTGGATTTATAAAAAAAATACCTATGTACGATTGAAGGTGATTTTCTTTGGTATCATAGATTTATAAATATAATAGGAGTTACTTTTCTTCCATTCTTGAATTTCTTTTTTTCTTTACATTTATGAAAGCAAATAAGTAACACTTTGTGGACTCTATTTTATTTAATTCGAAGGGGGGAAAATTTAGATAAAGTATTTTTTTCATGTTCACTGTTTTATAAAAATAATGTATATTTCTAGAATTCTTCCTTTTCTATTACATTTAAAAAAAAAAAGTAATAAGAACATTTTATGGACTCTAACACGAATAGAAAAAGCTATAATACTATACTCATTTAATTATATATTTTTTTCTAAATAGAGTAACAATTCAGTTCATAGGTTACAATTTAAAGAATCTCTCTATATAGAAATGCAAAAATAGTTTCTCTAAAAGTCTGTTCAATTTGTTATTTTTTATACCAAACACGAAAATACTGATGCTTCGCCTATATAATGATCGGAGAAACAAAATGATAATTTATTATATGCCAACCGTCGACTAAATAAAACAATAAATATCCTACTAATATTATAAATATGAAAATTAAGTTTCGTTAATAATAATTACCCTAATTAAACTAAGCAGGCCTATTTTAAAATTTTAATTGCTTTTGAGCCCTCTAGCAAAAAACCATTAGGTATGAGGCCTTTAGGTATGAGGCCTTTTCAATGAAAAAAGGATTCATCAAAATCTATTTAGATTTAATAAAAAAATCGTCTAACGTACTAAATAAAAATACAAACATATTAAGAATATCCGTGTATTCAAGTCATCAGTTATAAAAATCACAAAAAGATATTATTATGTATTTCATAAGCATCCCACTAATTTATTTATTTTTAATTAATTAATTTATATTTTTAATTTATTTATATTAAATACACAAGTAAGATGCACATAGATTATAATAAATTTATTATTAAAAATTATATTAATATTAAAAAAATTAAACATTATAAACATAAAAATAGCATTAAAATGTAATAATTTAATTTTAATAATTGTCAGTGATTCTATAATTTACGAAGATCTTTGAAAATTTTTGGGGTTTTAGTTTTTGTTTATTTATTAAGTAATAAATAAACAAACCACCTTACTAATAATATAATACAGCTCTATATTAATAACACAGCTGAACAAATAAGAATGAAATTCGATTTAAATTAAATACCAGACATACAAGCTATATGTAATATAACTTATGTATTACATAAAAGCTATATGTAATATATAACACATAAGTTACATTTCATAATAATTCACGCGGACGGTTCTACAGAATTCAGTTATTACTTATTCTAAATGTGAATGTTTGTGAAGAAGTGAAATGATAAATATGCTTAGATTTTAATTTCTCAATCATAAATATAAAGAAAGGTTTTTATCTTTTCCAAATAATACAAAATTTATTTTTTTTAATAATTATAATTGTAAACTATGACTACTCTTACTTTAGGTGGATAATATTTTATTTATTGAATGATTCTTGTTTCGTTGACTATTAGGTAAATCTCGTCTCTAAATTTCATTGGTGAAAATTTCTTACACAAAATTTGTTTATTTTATAATACTTACTCCTAATTTCTTTTTATTTCTTTCTGCTGTATAAACATTTATAATTTGTCTGATTCTTTAAAAAATAAATATTATTAAAATAGTACAAAAACTACTGAACTGGCTGTGATAAGATTTTCAT